TTCTAGCTAGCGGAATTTCGAATGATCTTATTACAGCACGAAACACTGCAAAAACGCATGATCGCATGGGCCCGCCGGTGCGCGTCGCTAATGATTGATGGTATCGGATGAAGAATGGGTAAGACACGGACCGAAATTTTCCAATTCAGTTTTTATTTTCACTTTTAATTACTATTTTTTGTTACAACCTTTTTCATAGCCATAAAATATTCAAATAAAGAAAAACTGTTCGGGTTAATTTTCGTGATGGAATAACAAGTTATAGCAAAAAAAGAAGAATCGAATTTTGCTTATGAGAACGAAATTCCCCAGACACTGATCAGTTTTCCGTGGGATTTGTTAAAAGACGAAACAAAAGAGTGCCAATAGCTTAGAGATAATGCGACTTACCAATGCTCTTAGCCACACGCTGGTAGTTTTATTTCTTTTAAGTCGCTTGGTTGGAGTGTGTTTAAGTTGTTTTCATTTGCCGAAGAAGCAGTTCTTCTAATGTGACTCGAAAACTCAGGAAAAAATATGCTATTTTGCAGCTAGCTTTTTTCGGGTTGCGTCAGCCTCAGATGACAGTTTATTTTATTGCATACGATCAATACTTCGAGCAAGAGCTACCAAAATTGCACCATCATTTTGATGTGCTCGATGTACGGCCTGATCTATACCTCATCGAGTGGTAATCTTTTTGGTTCATTACTGTAAAATAACTGAAGGTGAGCAGGAGAAAGAAGGACAAAACATCGTCCTCGCTTTCCAAAATGCATCCTAAAAAAACAGAGTAACATAGAGAGCCCGAGTTGAAAAGCGTTTTAACTGGTTTTTCCAGAAAATTTGTCCTTTTGTAAATTCGTTGAGCATGATTATGTACTTATCTAGATCATTGTTGTTGTAGGCTATATACGTTGTATGCAAAATCGTTGCCTTTCGATGTTAGCTGCCGAATATGGGATGTATTTTTGCGTGATGGTGAACAGTTCCTGTTCACTACAGCGCTTGGTTAGTACAGATTAATTTGTGTGGCGTGTTTTTGAAATTAGCCTCAAAAAATTTGCTGTAGCTATGCGTTTTCTCGGATTATCCAGTTATCCAAGTTTTAGACATAAGATCGCTAGTCAGAACAAAAGGGACTGCAAGTTGATTGTAAAGTTTATGGAATTGTACATAAGTAGAGTCACTGCATTTGGCCTTGTATATTTTATAACAGTCCCTCTGAGAATAAAGTTAAAAAGTATGTGCCTCCTCGTCGAGAGCTCTGGACTTATTTTTGAATCCTATCATTCTTTAAGCTAATTTTTTTGTTTGTTATTTAGTTATTACATTTTGATATTAATGTACAGTTGGATGAGATATATTTTAAAAACTTATCCGACCTGGGGCCAGTAATGAATTCGTCTAAGTTATGCGTCTTTGTTTAAAAAGCTGCATCTTGTTACTAGGATAGTCCGGATTACTAGGACTCATAAGCTGGATTGGGTGTTAAGGATCTCCATCCGGAGCTGCATTCCTGCGGTTTTTCATCCACTATTTGTGCTAAAAACAAAACACGTGATACCTTTTAAAAACTCGTCCGAGTTGTGGCTTTGGCACGTGACGGTGGTACACCAGTTATTAGAAACCATGCAGTAATCCAATAGCTTAGTAATCAGACTTTCTGAGAAAACATGCAGTAATCCAAGAGTGGATATTATGTTTACTGATGTGTTTTTTTACAGGCATACTGCATCTGTACGAAGAGGAGCTACAAGCGATGGATGATTTCGATGAAATTGTCAACTTCCTCACCCATTTACCGCAGTCAGTGGATATCAATCGGCTTTTCGACTCTATTGAATTGCTCGCAAAATGCTGCTCTTCCTCTTGTGTTGAGAACGGCAAGCACCGCTCTTTCCAACAGGTGTTTTTTTTTTTTTCGGGTACATTAATTAGCTGTATCGTGGCGCACCTTTACATTATGAACATAATTCGTAGTTTTCCCGAAATTGCTGGACCGAGGATTTCACATTCTCTACTAATTTTGCTGCATGTTTCTCCGTGTGCTTCTTTGATTTGTGGAGTAGTATTACAGAAAGCATCTCACTTTCTCCAAATAATTATCGTATGTTGTTCTAGCTTATCTGTTCGTGTTACACATACGCTTGTCCATCACGGCCGTAACATGTGAGTAATGAGTGTAGAAGAAGCACACATTGGTAGTTTAATCATATTTGAAAGCTTGCTGATTCAGAGAAGGCCGGTGCCATGCTATATTTCTGTGAAGTGACTTTTTCTAGTAGCTGCTAAACCAAAATTTTAAACTCCAGATCTGCGTCGTAGCAGATCTTCAAAACCCTTAAGTGTAGAACGAATTTTTTTGAAAAGAATGCTGCCTTATGAAATTAGGACATGCGATTCGCTTTCCTTTTTGAGGCACTGTCAGTATATCATGAAGTTTTGTTGCTGTTTTGCTGGTGATATACTGCTCTTTCAAACAACTATGTGTTACAGATCTTCACAGATGTTAGTGAACGTATAGCGCAGGCGGCTGGAGTAGCTGCTGGCAGCAGTGGTGCATCCAGTTTGTTATCATCACCCGTGGAAATGCTTTATTCCAAAAAGAATCATTCCATCTGTAAGACATTTTGTCATTTTTGTTGCCAAAAGGACGCCATCAGCAA